TTTAACTATATATCTGGGGGGGGGCAATTGCCCCCCCCCCAGAGAAAGAATTTGCCCCCCACCCCCAGTAAAGCCATTTCTGCCCCCGAAGTGCGAAGCAGAATTGCTCATGATTGCTGTCAGAATTGCAGTTGATTTACTTGATGAGATTATGCCCTTCCATAGCCTCCTCCACAGCCATCTTGTGTGTAATTCATATTGTTCTTCACCGAGTATTTCATAATAGCGATAGATTTCATGCAAACAATCCGATAAAATGCTAGCCTTTCCAAGCCTTGCGACTATTTCCTAGCACTCTCCTCTGCAGAGGCGTTGTGTTTTGTTTTGGGAGTTTTATTGCAAAATTTTTTTCTTAAAAATATCAAGTTATATAAAGAGCCCCCCTCCCCCCCCCATCGCCACAAAAACCACTCAAGGCTAAATCCTTAGAGAAATTGGGGGGGGGGGGCATACGTTACATGCTCAAAGCTGAAACTGATTAAGTACGTCTCGACTGAGGAAAAAGACGTTATACTGGAGGAACTTGAATTGTGATTTCCCGTTAAAGCAGTTGTAGATATGGTTCCAAGAAGTGAATGAAATTTAGTTTAGATTTTTAACTGTTCAATACATGTATGCATCATCATAGCATGAATATTTCTTCTCAGACTTATTCTGTATCGTATGAAAAAGCGACGCAATTTTGAGAATGCGGAAATAGTGTCTCATAGAACCTAAAATGATTTAAATGCAACATTTCTGATCAAAATCACATTGGGATTCCCCCTCCCCCAGCATCATAGGGAGGAAATAAGGTGACACTGACCCCTCCTCCTATTTTTCAAGGTGACTTTTCCAATTATTTAATTTCGTGTAGAAATGTCTGGAAAAATTCATGTCTTCGATGGATATTATAATCTTCGGAATTCTGCTATATTTCACCATAGATATCTTATGGATTTCACCCCCAAAATGCATGAAATCGCAATTCAGGAGCCCTAGATTTCAAAATTTTCCGGACCCCGGCCCCTCCTAGACGGTCTCACGCCTTCGGCGTGATGTTCGCCCCCCTGCAAAATTAAGGTTTGGCTACGCCACTGGTTATAGCTGTACGATTATAGCTACAAAGAGTTGAAGTTATTGTTTAAAGTAAAATATAACTGAAGTTAATAAATTACAGTTTTACAAAATCTCTCTTCAGACTCGCGCGTTCGTTCGCCAAACCTCGACAGCTCATATTTTTCGTTCTGCCTTTTTTCCTGTTTTGCCCCCCCCCCCCAGTGAAAATTCCTAAAAAAAGGTACTGTCCTGTAGTAACACTGGATAATAACTATTAAGAGATGATCCTTACTGGACCTCTAGGAAGAACAGTTTAGAACTGATACTGGAGCTATCCAGTATAAATAAAATTAGTTTAGTTTAGGTTTCCTCCTGTAGTAACACTGGATCAATAAGAGATGATCCTTACTGGACCTCTAGGAAGAACAGTTTAGAACTGATATACAGCTATCCAGTATAAATAAAGTTAGTTTAGTTTAAGTTTCCTCCTGTAGTAACACTGGATCAATAAGAGATAATCCTTATTGGGCCTCTAGGAAGAACAGTTTAGAACTGATTAAGCTATCCAGTATAAATAAAGTTAGTTTAGGTTTCCTCCTGTTATAACACTGGATCAATAAAAGATGATCCTTACTGGACCTCTAGGGAGAACAGTTTAGAACTGATAGAGCTATCCAGTATAAATAAAGTTAGTTTAGGTTTCCTCCTGTAGTAACACTGGGTCAATAAGAATGATGATTCTTACTGGACCTCTAGGGAGAACAGTTTAAAACTGATAGAGCTATCCAGTATAAATAAAGTTAGTTTAGTTTAGGTTTCTTCCTGTAGTAACACTGGATCAATAAGAGATGATTCTTACGCGGGTAACGGCCAGTTTAGAACTGATAGACGAAACATTAATATATTTTTGCGTAATATTGCAATAACATTAAAAGCAGATAAAATTCAATGAATATGGACAACAAACTTATCTCAAATATAATCTTAAATTAATATGGAAATCGCTTCGCAGCTGTCCGAATCGACTTAAATTATATGTTATGCACATACGAAAAATTAAAATTTGAAAATCGATTTAATCTCGACGTTGGCTGAACACGGAAGGAGCTAGAAACGGGACTACAAACGTATATTACGCCCTGGCAAAGAGGAAAAAGATTTTTGAAATGGAACTTTACTGAAGTAGGTTTGTATCAGCTCAAAACTTGTGTTTTGGAAAAAAATATCGTAAGGATTTTTTCAAAGGTAGCCTTCTAGGGATTAAGATTGGCATTGCATACAAGAGTTTTCTTAGAAAAAATTATTAATATTTTCTAGTATACAGTATGTAAGAAATCAGGACTTGTAATAGTGTTTGATATTTGCGAATCCTCAATTCTCGTTTTTCAAATGTTTTTCGAAACAATAAAAAATTTGACAACATTTGAGAATAAATAAAGTTAGTTAAATTTAGGTTTCCTCCTGTAGTAACACTGGTTCAATAGGGGATGATTATTACTGGACCTCTAGGAAGAACAGTTTAAAATTGATAGAGCTATCCAGTATAAATAAAGTTGGTTTAGTTTAGGTTTCCTCCTGTAGTAACACTGGATCAATAAGAGATGATCCTTACTGGATCTCCAGGGAGAACAGTTTTAGAACCGATAGAGCTATCCAGTATAAATAAAGTCAGTTTAGTTTAGTTTAGGTTTCCTCCTGTAGTAACACTGGGTCAATCAGAAATGATTCTTACTGGCGCCCAAAAGAGAACAGTTCAACACTGCTATACGGTTAGCTCAGAAACGTGAGAGCTTCAAAGCTCAACACATCTGTTCAGCAGATATTTTTATGAATAAACAAATGAAATGAGACGACATTCGAAGGCAATCGAAATGAAATGAATAGATAACAAGGCAATATTGGCCTCAAATTGCTCTAATGTTTATTAACAGCGCATTCATGATGGAATAGGAATCCCGGAAGGTCACGTGTGGTCTTTCTCGTGTGCTAATTGGTTTAGTCAGTTTAGCATCCTGTAACGGCGTATTTGGAGAGGAATTAAGCGATGTCACATATCGACACTAATCACTGAATTGAAACAGTGTATCTTATTAGGGATTAGTGATGCGATTCAAACTATGAGCAAACTGCTAAAAATAAGCATGACAATTAACGCCTAGGATGTAAAGGGCATGTTTACCAATTTTGAACACGAAAACAGGAAACCAAATTCAGATGAAACCGTCTGTAGAGCTTGTTCAACTTTCCGCGTCTCTAATTTGTTTTGGAACATTGAGAATTAATTTTCCTTCTAGTCAAATTATCAGGAAATTGGTAAATTTGTTGTTTGCGTCAGAAAGTGTCAGTGTGAATTGGATTTGCGCCCGAAATGTTTCGAGTAATTGCTAATTCGATTGCATCACGGATATTTCAGCACGTCATATATAGCTTCGTAACTGTCCCTTCAAAAGATTCAGTATTGAGGATCCAATCAGTGTTACTACAGGAGGAAACCCAAACTACTGAAACTAACTTTATTTATACTGGATAGCTCTATCAGTTCTAAACTGTTCTCCCTAGAGGTACAGTAAGAGTCATCTCTAATTGATCCAATGTTACTACAGAAGGAAACCCAAACTAAACTAACTTTATTTATACTGGATAGATCTATCAGTTCTAAACTGTTCTTCCTAGAGGTCCAGTAATTAGAGTCATCTCTTATTGATCCAGTGTTACTACAGGAGGAAACCTAAACTAAACTAATTTTATTCAGTATACTGGATAGCTCTATAAGTTCTAAACTGTTCTTACTAGAGTAAGAGTCATCTCTTATTGATGCAGTGTAACTACACTGCAAAAAACGCCTAGCCTGTATTCTGTAACAATGTTGTTGTAAACAGGCGTGAACAATATTTTGCTGCCCATATTGTTCTTGCTTGTTAACACTTAACAATAACATACTCAACGGCATAAACATCTAAGTTGAATGTTTATTCCTTACATATTCAACAGAATAAACATCTATGTTGAATGTTTATGCAACAACATTGTTACAGGGTAGGCGTTTTTTCCTCTGTACAGGAGGAAACCTAAACCAAGCTAACTTTATGTACTATTTAAAAACGAGCAGGAGTGTTTTATTAGGTTTAAAGCCACGAGCGCGCAGCGCGTGTGGCTTTAGACCTAATAACACACGAACATGGCTTCAAAAACGTTTGCATAATAAGTCAAATCTTTATATAAAAATCTTTATATAAAAATCTTTATATAAAAATCTTTATATAAAAATCTTTATATAAAAATCTTTATATAGTTTGCATAACAATGGTCTTTTGTTAAAGTGTTCTTTAGCTGGTATAAAGACGTAAGCACGTGACTAATTTCTTACTCAAGATTGGATAATTGCTTCATGAATTATTAATGAATTTTTGAACAGTTTATACAGGATAGCTCTATCAGTTCTAAAACTATTCCCCTTTGAGGTCCAGTGAAGATCATCTCTTATCGATCCAGTGTTACTACAGGAGGAATCTTATAAACTAAACTAACTTTATTTATACCATGGCCAGAAGTAACGGAGATTGTGCAAGTGTACCACCAGTCGGTCAGCAACCTTTCCGTTTATCCACAACTGATTCCTAATTATCCTTTCACGCCGTATCAACAGCCGTCCCGCACGTTGTAACCAATAATCTATTGTCAATCAGTTGTAAAACGATTGTATGCAATAACGTATTAGGAAAGATGAACCTAACCCTAACCTAACACCAAACCTAATATAATCTTAATCTATAACCCTAATCTAATCTAAATCTGACACTAATCTAAACTTGTTGACCTTTTCTTTTAATAATCTCTCGGTAGAGTCCTACTGGAAGCACTCTTCTCACATCTGACTGAGGTGAAATTATAATCAAATTAAATAACTATATATTGCAAGAATCAAACTCTAGTCACACAGAGATGAAAAACACATGTGTTAACCAGAAGACACTTTTCATTTTAAGTGTTAAATGATTCGTTCCTATGGAAACTCTCAGGGAAAGAATATTAAAAAATCAAAAAGAATTTAAGGATGCCAGACAACTTCATTAAGAACCTTTTTATGTCAAAATCATACTTGAAGAACTTCAAAGATTTCTTTCGTGTTAATATTGTCATGGCACGATAGTAGCAAAGAAATAAAACACCGCGAAATTAAAGTATCTCTACTTTATACCAATCGGTTTGCAATTCCCAGTAATTCAATTCGTGAAATATGCGGGATCCTTACTGTACCTCTAAAAGAACAGTTTAGAACTGATAGAGCTATCCAGTATTAATAAAGTTTACAAGTTAGTTTAGTTTAGGTTTCCTCCTGTAGTAACACCGGATCAATAAGAGATGATCCTTGCTGGACCTCTAGGAAGAGCAGTTTAGAACTGATAGAGCTATCCAGTATAAATAAAGTTAGTTTAGTTTAGGTTTCCTCCTTCAGCAACACTGGATCAATAAGAGGTGATCCTTACTGGATCTCTAGGAAGAACAGTTTAGAACTGATAAAGCTATCCAGTATAAATAAAGTTAGTCTAGTTTAGGTTGCCTCCTTCAGCAACACTGGATCAATAAGAGATGACCCTTACTGAACCTCTAGGAAGAACAGTTTAGAACTGATAGAGCTATCCAGTATAAATAAAGTTAGTTTAGTTTAGGTTTCCTCCTGTAGTAGCACTGGATCAATAAGAGATGACCCTTACTGGACTTCTAGAGAGAACAGTTTAGAACTAACAGAGCTATCAAGTATAAATAAAGTTAGTTTAGTTTAGGTTTCCTTCTGTAGTAACACTGGAACAATAAGAGATGACCCTTACTGGACCTCTAGGAAGAACAGTTTAGAACTGATAGAGCTATCCAGTATAAATAAAGTTAGTCTAGTCAAGGTTTCCTCTTGTAGTAACATTGGATCAATAAGAGATGACTCTTACTGGACCTCAGGGAAAAACAGCCGTTTCATTGACATCAGCAAATTGTTAGACTTTCGCGTTCTCGGATAAGGACGTTAAAATCGTAGGTACCTCGGATCCCATATCAATTCGGCAATAGCCGCTCACCAATGAGTGAGGAAGTCAATAAACACAAAGAAACGTCCTTTGTCGTTTTTATATCTTGTCAAATGTCGCAATGACGTACGAAAAAATGTTGGAAAGGTTTTGGAAAAATTCCAAGAGTAACCAAAGTCCTCAGAATTAGCGCTGAAGGATGAAATGAATAATGTGCATCCGGCTATTCTAAGAGATCGTTGTAGCGGAACTTCAATATTAACTTACGCAAGAAATAAAAGGCATTCTTACAATTGCAAATAGGGCGTGAGAATATCCAGTTTGACCTTATAGTTAACAAACACGTTAACAAGGCCTAAAGCTAACTGAATTGACCTTATCTATACTGGATAGCTCTTTCAGTTCTAAACTGTTCCCCCTAGAGGTCCAGGAAGGATCATCTCTTATTGATCCAGTGTTACTACAGGAGGAAACCTAAACTAAACTAACTTTGTCTATACTGGATAGCTCTTTCAGTTCTAAACTGTTCCCCCTAGATGTCCAGAAAGGATCATCTCTTAATGAACCTGTGTTACTACAGGAGGAAACCTAAACTAAACTAACTTTATTTACACTGGATAGCTCTTTCAGTTCTGAATTGTTCTTCCTAGAGGTCCAGTAAGGATCATCTTTTTTGATCCAGTGTTACTACAAGAGGAAGCCTGAACTAAACTAACTTTATTTATACTGGATAGCTCTATCAGTTCTAAACTGTTCTTCCTAGAGGTCCAGTAAGAATCATCTCTTATTGATCCAGTGTTACTACAGGAGGAAACCTAAACTAAACTAACTTTATTTATACTGGATAGTTCTATCAGTTCTAAACTGTTCTCCCTAGAGGTCCTGGAAAGATCATCTCTTATTGATCCAGTGTTATTACAGGAGGAAGCCTAAACTAAACTAACTTTATTTACACTGAATAGCTCTTTCAGTTCTAAACTGTTCTTCCTAGAGATCCAGTAAGGATCATCTCTTATTGATCCAGTGTTACTACAGGAGGAAACCTAAACTAAACCGCTAACTTTATTTATACTGGATAGCTCTATCAGTTCTAAATTGTTCTCCCTAGAGGTCCAGTAAGAGTCATCTCTTATTGATCCAGTGTTACTACAGGAGGAAACCGAAACTAAACCGCTAACTTTATTTATACTGGATAGCTCTATCAGTTCTAAATTGTTCTCCCTAGAGGTCCAGTAAGAGTCATCTCTTATTGATCCAGTATTACTACAGGACGAAACCTAAACTAAACTAAGTTTGCAATAAGGCCGATAAGGGCGTGTGAAAACCAATCTAAATACGGCGTGGGAATATTGATTTTAAACTTAGTCAAAAGGCTTAGTCATATATGTAAAAGTATGCAGCACACTTAACTAATTCGAAAGCAAATATATGCACATATAAGAACATTTTCATGGAGCAATAACAGGAACATTGGTTAAATACCGTGACCTTCAACATAAAATAACTCGAGATGCACTTGTGAGCTTTACTATATGGTTAAGGGCACCCTACAAGGTAACAACGTCCAATAATTTGAATAGAAATAAAGTTAGTTTATCTCAGTGTAGGTTTCTTCCTGTAGTAACACTGGATCAACAAGAGATGATCCTTACTGAACCTCTAGGAAGAGCAGTTTAGAACTGATATAGAGCTATTCAGTATAAATAAAGTTAGTTTAGTTTAGGTTTCCTCCTGTAGTAACACTGGATTAATAAGAGATGATCCTTACTGGACCTCTAGGGAGAACAGTTTACACTTATGGAGCTATTCAGTATAAATAAAGTTAGTTTAGTTTAGGTTTCCTCCTGTAGTAACACTGGATTAATAAGAGATGATCCTTACTGGACCTCTAGGGAGACCAGTTTACACTGATGGAGCTATCCAGTATAAATAAAGTTAGTTTAGTATGCATGGGTTTCCACTTGCAGGAACACTAGATTAATATAAGTTTCCTCCTGTAGTAACACTGGATCAATAAGAGATGATACTTACTGCACCTCTAGGAAGAACAGTTTAGAACTGATAAAGCTATCCAGTATAAATAAAGTTTGTTTAGTTTAGGTTTCGATCCTCCTGTAGTAACACTGATCAATAAGAGATGATCCTTACTGGACCTCTAGGGAGAACAGTTCAGAACTGATAGAGCTATCCAGTATATAAATATTAAAAGTTAGTCTAGTTTAGGTTTCTTCCTGTAGTAACACTGGATCAATAAGAGATGATCCTTACTGGACCTCTACGGAGAACAGTTTAGAACTGATATAGAGCTATCCAGTATAAATAAAGTTAGTTTAGTTTAGGTTTTCTCCTGTAGTAACACTGGATCAATAAGAGATGATCCTTACTGGACCTCTAGCAAGAACAGTTGAAAACCGATAGAGCTATCCAGTATATTCCTCTGAGATCAGAGATAGGTAAACCACATATGACCCGCGCGCGGGCGTATATTCACTCGCTGTGGTTAATTAGCGTAATTAAATGTAAACCAAAACCAACACGCATTTATACTCTAACCATTTTGACATTGTTTTAATTAAACCATTAAACAAAATTCTCATTATCGCCATAGGAGATTCAATAAAGAGCCTACGGGCTTTCAAATGTCAAAATTTTTTTTGAAGTAAAGTGGCCCTTAACTCGTTCAAGACATGACATATTGTTTCAACATGCATTAAACTGTTCGATCACGCGGCTATGTATTCAGTTTCATCGAATTGGGCTCTGTTTAAGAACGCCGGTTTTACAGCAGACAGATTCGCTTAAATTAGAGGGAACTGTTAAGTGATTTAGTATATTCTATTTCATCCAGACTGCCATATCGACCAATACTCGTGCAAGCTTGTGCCAGGGGAGCGTGGCGAAACGTATTAACGGTTTTACAAAGGACGCAAGCTTTCAAAATGTTCGGCAAACTAACGGGAATTTTAATGCTTGCTGCTTGTCTGGTGAATTTTGGAAACGCGAAAGCGAAGACCTCGGAGACAGAAAGCTCAGAGACGAAAGGTAACGTTTTATTTCTCCAGTGTTTTTTAATCAATTGTGAATTGTATGACTTATTAATATATCAATCAGCTGTCCTAATCTTGTTATCTTCAGATGCTTCTCAGCGTTAGGTAAAATCTAGGTAAAGGTCTTCACATTCTTCGTGCTATTTCTAGATAGTTTTATAGATTTTAGGTAGCTACTGGCGAGGCTACTCGTCTTGTGAGCATGGTAATTTAGCTAGCTTATTAAATTTCAAACGGTTATGGTTCCAACAGGCCTACACATCGGCTTTATCATAAAAAATTACTGAAGTATCTCGTCCGAAGCCCAAGGAAAAGGCCCCTTTAGTAAGTAACTAGAATTTAAGTGACGCTTCGGTTTATCGGCGACGCAATTACGTCAATAAACTGTACTAAAGATCATATTGAAAATAGTGACGGTTAAAATAGGGGAATAATCTTGATGCTTAACTATGTTCAAAACATATCAACGTTATATGTATACTGTGAGAAAAGAATAACAAAACTAAATATGGCAAAAACAGTGTAGCCTACAATATGAAAAGAATTTATGTGAACTGCTCGAAATAGATAGATTATTATAAAAAGCAAAACGATAACAAGATCCACTATCTATAAAAGATCGCTGTACTATATTGCATATTGAACAGAATTTGCCACAACTATTTAACAACAAAAGCATGATATAAAGTTTCAGTTTATAATCGAAAGAAAGTATTCTGCGATGAACGACTTCCCAGATTATATTGCCAGAAAGTATGACATGAAGAGCCGGGCTATGTCAATAAAATTACCACTCGTTACAAGTGTCGTGAAATATGACGATAATATAAACATGTTTATGGTTCGTAGAAATTGGTTTTCATATACGCTTGTAGTTTTATTTATTTTCCGTTTTGTATGTTGACAAGTTGCTTAATTGGATGCAAAGTATTTTGAAAGGATTCCAGTCTACGCGCAAATTATTCCGAAATCTATATTTGATTTGGAAAGTTATGTTGTTTATGAAAGAGATTGGCTGTTGTGATATAGATCGGCTATTTTCGAAGCTATTTTATGGCTGTTATCGTAACCTTGAACTCGTATTTATCAAACAACCTGATCGTGTATGATGCGGTTTATTAAATTCTCGTGCCATCCTATGTTGACAGTGTTCAAACACTGATGTACGTTAACTTGTACAATAATGTTTTAAAATCGCCTGGGAAGGGTTTAAGACCCTTCACTTATATTGGTATATTGACGGATAGGAAACGAAGTGCCTGCAACGATTTCTAAAATGCTTTTAATGGAGGATTTCTCCGTCTTTGCATAAATACAACAGGATGTGTAATACAATCAACTCGTTTCAAAAGTTCCGGCGATCAGAAAGACCTGACCATTCGATTGATATTGTTTGGAGTGACACAGAATAAAATACAAATATATTTGAAGCCAAAAATATTGAGTTACAAAAGAACTATTTTTTAATGCTTATAAAATTTGAGATTTTTAATTCAATTTGAATTGTCTTAGGTACAGTATTAAAGGACCACCGCGTGTTTTGAGTTAATCCGTTAATCTGGACCAAAATTAACCCTAACTTGCTATATTAATTTCGCTGTGCGATAAAACATTCCTTTTTTGATAGAACTATACATTTGTCATAAACATTTGTCATAAACATCTTAAATCCATTATTTGCAGGTTAAATTATTTGCTAAATTCTTTTCAAATATGAATCTAACTTATATAACACTATAACACAGTAGGCTTATAAATTTTGATCAGATTTCACAGCTCGCTTCACAGTGTGAACTCCCAGTGATAATGAGCTTACTGTATCATAAATGCTAAACTTCAAATTTGAACGCAAGCAATATTATAGAATTGGGCAATTGAATTATGTGGGAAAATACTTGTCTTGATTCGACATTTCCTCAGCTGAACAACTTTATATCCTGCCTTTATTAAATCAATGTCAATGTCTCTTTACATCGAAGTAAAAAATTTAAATTAAGAAGACGTTTCAAATCACTATGTCTATGCTATTAAAGCCGATATATGGATGGGCGCGTTTATACTATACAGTATATCTGTCAATGACATTGTCACATTAAATCTTTGGTGATTGTCTTTTGAAACAAAAACCGGAATTCATTCTATTCTTTCCTGAATAGATTTCAATTTGAAATAGGAAAAAACAACCATTCCCAAACAAGAATAGGACGTGATTAAGAAATTGTTTTGATAACGAAATTGATGAGCTATTGATGATTTATTAGCAAAATGTGATGTTAGTTTATTTATAAGTATTCATCAACAATTATATTATTTGATATGTTTCATAAGGATTAAATCATGTCGGTGTAAACATCAGATGTTAATTAGCCTTGTTATATAAAATATTTCATGAATTTTTGAGCTGATGTAAAACTATATTCAGTTTAAGTTTCCTCCTGTAGTAACACTGGATTAATAAGAGATGACTCTTGTTGGACCTCTGGGGAGAACTATTTCGAACTGATAAAGCTATCCAGTATAAATAAAGTTAGTTTAATTTAGGTTTTCTCCTGTAGTAACACTGGATCAATAAGAGCTATTATCCTTACTGGGCCTCTAGGGAGAACAGTTTAGAATTGATAGAGCTATCCAGTATAAATAAAGTTAGTTTAGTTTAGGTTTCCTCCTGTAGTAACACTGGATCAATAAGAGATTATCCTTACTGGGCCTCTAGTCTAGGGAGAACAGTTTAGAACTGATAGAGCTATCCAGTATAAATAAAGTTAGTTTTAGTTCAGGTTTCCTCCTGTAGTAACACTGGATCAATAAGAGATGATCCTTACTGGACCTCTAGAACTGAGAACAGTTTAGAAGTGATAGAACTATCCAGTATAAATGAACAAAATTTTAACTTTAGCCTTGACCCTAGCTCTTAATAAACGTATATCTTCTAAAAGTTTATCAGTAAAACATTAAACTTAGCTCGTTCTATTCATATCCGGCTTTAAATTTTATCTGATACTTAAATTAAGACGATAAAAAGCTATTATAAGTAAGCTCTAACCTTTGACATGTAAAATGATATAAACCAACGCAATCTGAAAATTCATCTTATGTGACGAGTAACAGCCCCTTGAATAGATGAAAGATTGGATAGGTATGATTTCACGAGATTTCAGTGACGTTTCCAGAACCACAACGGGTTTCAAACGAGTTATTGGCCCCGTCTGTGGTTTCACTTTAGTGACAATGAGTTTTTATTCTTTCAATATGCAGGTGTCTGACTATCTATGATTGTACCTCAGTTACATGTGCTTCTAGTCTGACTCTATCAAACAGCATAGGTTTTCTTCAGGTAATCTGATTTCCTCATGTAGTAACACTGGATCAATAAGCGATGATCCTCACTGGACCTCTAGGGGGATCAGTTTAGAACTGATAGAGTTATCCAGAATAAATAAAGTTAGTTTAGTTTAGGTTTCCTCCTGTAGTAACACTGGATCAATAAGCGATGATCCTCACTGGACCTCTAACAGTTTGAAACTGATAGAGTTATCCAGTATAAATAAAGTTAGTTTAGTATAAATAAAGTTAATTTCCTTCTGTAATAACACTGGATCAATAAGAGATGATTCTTACTGGACCTCCGTAGGGGGAACAGTTTAGAACTGATAGAGCTATCCAGTATAAATAAAGTTAGTTTAGTTTAGGTTTCCTTCTGTAGTAATACTGGATCCGAATAAGAGATGATCCTCACTGGACCTCTAGGGGGAACAGTTTAAAACTTTAAACTGATAGGGTTATCCAGTATATATAAAGTTATAATAGTTTTGTTTGTGGAAACACCACGTAAATTTATTACTGCGGTAATAAATTTACGTGGTGTTTCCACAAACAAAACTATTATATGTTTTATCGCCATGCAAACATACAAAGAACTAAATATATAAAGTTAGTTTAGTTTAGGTTTCCTCCTGCAGTAACACTGGATCAATAAGAGATGATCCTTACTAGACCTCCAGGAAGAACAGTTGAGAACTGATAGAGCTATTCAGTATAAATAAAGTTAGTTTAGTTTAGGTTTCCTCTTGTAGTAACACTGGATCAATAAGAGATGATCCTTACTGGACCTCTAGCGAGAACAGTTTAGAACTGGTAGAGCTATCCAGTATAAATAAAGTTAGTTTAGTTTAGGTTTCCTCCTGTAGTAACACTGGATCAATAAGAGATGATCCTCACTGGACCTCTAGGAAGAACAGTTTAGAACTGATAGAGCTATTCAGTATAAATAAAGTTAGTTTAGTTTAGGTTTCCTCTTGTAATAGCACAGGATCAATAAGAGATGATTCTTACTGGACCTCTTGGGAGAACAGTTTAGAACTGATAGAACTATCCAGTATAAATAAAGTTAGTTTAGTTTAGGTTTCGTCCTGTAGTAACACTGGATCAATAAGAGATGATCCTTACTGGACCTCTAGGAAGAACAGTTTAGAACTGATAGAGCTATCCAGTATAAATAAAGTTAGTTTAGTTTAGGTTTCGTCCTGTAGTAACACTTGACCAATAAGAGGCGACTCTTATTGGAACTCCAGGGAGAGGAGTTTAGAACTAATAGAGCGACTCCAGTGTAACTATAAATTTATTACTTTCTACTCAGGGGACGGAAGTATGCACAAAAGATATAATCATATATATATAATAACTTAAATATTTTAGCAGTATATATTGTACATGAAATAAATGCACGCTGAAATAATCTGTACCAGAAAATGACGGTGCTACGAACTGGTAAAGTTTACCTGTTTTAGTAAGCTATTTGGAAACGAAATTCTTGAAAATAGGACAAGCCTAAGTAGAAAATCGCTGTTTACTTAGTCACATGGAGAAAACATGCAAACTAACACTGCAACGCAAATACGATAACAGTATCAATCAATTAACGGCATTATATTTTGCAGACATCGTTTAACAGTCAGACATTTGTTTGTTTTTCTAAAACTCTGTTGGAAACGGAGATTAGCTCAGCATGTTATAATAGACCCTGCATGCAGGAAACCTGAACTAACTTTATTGACACTGGATAGCTCTATCAGTTCTAAACTGTTCTTCCTAGAGGTCTATAGTAAGGATCATCTCTTATTGATCCAGTGTTACTACAGGAGGAAACCTAAACAAAACTAACTTTATTTATACTGGATAGCTCTATCAGTTCTAAACTGTTCTCCCTAGAGGTTCAGTAAGGATCAACTCTTATTGATCCAGTGTTACTACAGGAGGAAACCTAAACTAAACTAATTTTATTTCTACTTGATAGCTCTATCAGTTCTAGACTGTTCTTTCTGGAGGTCCAGTAAGGATAATCTCTTATTGATCCAGTGTTACTACTGGAGGAAACCTAAACTAACTTTATTTATACTGGATAGCTCTATCAGTTCTAAACTGTTCTTCCTGGAGGTCCAGTAAGGATCATCTCTTATTGATCCAGTGTTACTACAGGAGGAAACCTAAACTAAATTTATTTATACTGGATAATTCTATCAGTTTTAAACTATTCTTCCTAGAGGGCCAGTAAGGTCTTCTCTTATTGATCCAATGTTACTACAGAAGGAAACCTAAACTAAACTAAACTAAACTAACTTTGTATTTTTACTGCATAACTCTATCAGTTCTAAACTGTTCTTCCTAGAGATCCAGTAAGGATCATCTTAGGTTTCCTCCAGTAGTAACACTGGTTCAATAAGGGATGATCCTCACTGGACCTCTACAATTTAGAACTGATAGAACTATCCAGAATAAGCCAATCTAGCCCCACCCATTTTCCCTCTAATGAAAAAACAATTCTCTGATTTCAGATTACTCGTACTGTGGGCAAGGCTCGCAGCGAACTCGTTCAAGGGTCAGACGAGTTATCGGTGGCCAAGACGCAACTGCGCACGCGTGGCCTTGGACCGTCCTCATCATGAATTACACGACGGTGTTCTGCGGTGCTTCAATAATCAGTCCCACCTTCCTCATCACGGCCGCTCATTGCGTTGGCAGAAACCGCACTAACATATCTTTGTACGCTGGAAAACACAGAGTGGACGAGCGAGACCTCCACGAACAAAAATTAGTCGTGAAAAAATTTTACAGACACCACAAGTATAGGGCAGGCAACGACTTCCATCCGGGCGATTACGATATGGCGCTGATCCAACTGAAGAATCCCATTAAGTTTACGGAATATGTGAGGCCAATTTGCTTGGCAGGTGTGGATATGTTCGAACCGGGTCATGAATGTGTATTGAGTGGGTGGGGATATACTAATACCACAGTACGAAGGACGTCGAATATTTTACAAGAAATACGATTGCCTTTGGTTTCGGAAAAGGTATTTATGTTATGTTATGTTTTCAAAAGGTTATATGTATTCACGTTTAATTTGTAAGAGGGCCCTGAAGGGGTAAAATGGGAACTGAGATTGATCTATTTTTAGACTGGGAAAATGGGATTTGGGTTGCTGGGACTGGGATTTGGCCACTGGGAATGGGAAATGAAGTCCTCAAAAATGGGATTGAGGTAATGCGAGTCGATTCCCAATTTTTCTGCGTTTTGAGTATTTTAAAATACAATTTTGATCCGTTTTTGGTGTCTTTGGTCATGATTTTTGTTGTTAACTATATTATTCACAGCACTACCTGCGAACAGACATACTCTGGCGCCCGGAATTCTGGGTTTTCTGATTATGCGTGTCTCAGAATGCTGCAAATGCCATTTCCGGGATTCAAATTTAAATATTTCAATATTTCATAAAGTGTCCGCCACTTGCTTAAAAGGTCTTAAAACTGTTTATTCTACCGATAAATAAAGGGTTTTTTATTGACTGCGATTTCAATAACTGGGACTGGGATTTCTAATAAAAATCCAACTGGGACTGGGATTTTGCCAAAATTTCAGGTGGGAAATGGGATTGGGACCCCCCCCCCCTTCAGGACCCTCTTGTATGTGTGTATGTGTGTATGTGTGTATGTGTACTAGTATTCTACAATTGTAAGCTGCCGTGGTTTGTGTCTGAACTACCTGAAAAAGATATCTCAAACGTGGTGGTCCAGTGTAGGTAGTATTCTACAATAAGCTGTTGTGGTTTGTGTCTGAACTACCTGAAAAGATATCTCAAACGTGGTGGTCCAGTGCAGGTGGTATTCTACAATAAGCTGTCGTGGTTTGTGTCTGAACTACCTGAAAAAGATATCTCAAACGTGGTGGTTCAGTGCAGGTAGTATTCTACAATAAGCTGTCGTGGTTTGTGTCTGAACTACCTGAAAAAGATATCTCAAACGTGATGGTCCATCATGGTCCAGTGTAGGTAGTATTCTACAATAAGCTGTCGTGGCTTATGTCTGAACTACATGAAAAAGATATCTCAAATGGCTGACTATTTTATAGGTATGCAACAGTAACAAAAGCTACGGCGGTATTATTCCCCAGCGGTACTTGTGCGCAGGCGTACCGGAAGGGGGCAAGGACGGATGTTTCTATGACAGTGGTGGTCCTCTAATGTGCGCCCACAGTGACACTGACCCGTGGTATTTGGTTGGAATGATGATCTGGGGGAGTGGTTGCGCACAAAAAAACAAATACGGAGTTTATGCAAATGTCGCGAAGCAGATGGCAATGATAAAAGACAAGGTCAAAGGTAACTAGGCGCCACCTGAAAATTGGTATGACTAATGTTGGTGGCATATGGCCTCATAGCGCTCGTTTCAGGAAGCAAAAAACTTTAAAAATTTGTCATTTTGTTTTTGTTTTGTACCACAAACTGATAGAAACATTATGAGGGACCTTTTGGCTTGTGGGAACGGCCTTCAAATAATTAATATTAACCCAAAAAAAAAGAAGAAAGAAAGAACTTAATATTAACGCATTAAATTGCATTGTGCCCTAATTCTTTAGCTGTATCTGGCGGTTGAAAAACACAAAATAATAGTTAAATATTGTCAATTTAAATACAATTAATATTGATGCTGTAAAATTGACGCCATATTTATACAGCAATATAAGCAAAATTTACTGAACTTCAGACATCATTTTCTCTTTGGCGTACCATCTAAAATCTCTTCATTTTAGCACGACTTTACAGATAAAGCACTAAACATACTTTGTAAGTTTGTTTGCCGCTTGAGAAACGATTCATACAAAAGATACTCCTCTTAAAGATAATTCATTTCTAAGGATTTGAATCATGCAAATCATTAAAAATTTGCATAGCATGACCTGTTGCTATGACTATCTTCGCCATTCATGATACACTTTCTACGCTATCATAAATTTCATTGTATTAATAGCCGTGAGCATCAAGAGATCCCTATTGTCGAATCACGTGTCTCTAGTGAAAATTGGCTGACTTGAGTAGTTCATGAGCAGCAGTGTTTTATCAGATATAAAGATACTAGGCGAAGTATCTTTAGGTCTGATAAAACACGCACTGCGAATGTTTTAAATTGCTTCAAAAACGATTGATCTAGTAAGTTCATCGGCGAAGTAATTTTCAAAAAAATTCGTTGTGTATATATATAGAGAAAATCAAAGTAAAGTTTATGTAAATCAAGGGAAATCTCTATCACATATAAAGATACGACACGCTTATGATTTTAGTCTTTGTGTTTTCCTCATAAATTATTGAGTTTTTGAAATGGCTTAAAACTGAACGACCCATCTGATGAGTTCATTGGCGAAGAAATTTTAAATAAATAAGTTTTCTAAGCTGAGAAAATGAAAGCTACAGTTTATGTAAATGAACGTTTTTTAAAATTTATCTATTTATCTATTCTCGTTTCCAGACCTCCCGCGGCCGTATTCGCCCACAGGGTACCCCTCGCCTGTCCAAACAAGCAAGAAAGATTCGGGAGACCAAAACAAGGAAAAGATCTTCATTGCAATCATAGCAGCACTGTGCGTGATCATTCTGATACTATTGACAACGCTATGCATCGTGCATTTCTACACCCGCGGGTATATATGCTGTACGGCTACGGAGAAACGTTCATACAGACACAACAGAGCGCCCAGAGTTCTTCATGAGCAAAATGGCAAGTTGAACGGCGAGGTCAGCGTATGACGTGCTGGTCACTGATCTTGTAGAAAGAGTCTGGAGTGTACATTGGTTTGAAAGCTTGATAGCAAGACTATATATAGCATCTTATACTAGCGTAATTATTGGATAAGCTAACAGAGCCTATGCAGATTATCAAGAGGCAACTTTTTTCAATGTCAAGTACTTGCGATGAAAAATGTTCAAAATTACTTTGTTTTAGCTCTATTTTGTAGTTTACAAAGTTAGCAACCTTTTCAAATGTTGAGAAACACAAAATAATAGTTAAATATTGTCAATTTAAATGCAATTATAATTGATGCTGTAAAATTGACGCCATATTTATACAGCGATATATAAGCAAAACTTACTAAACTTCAGACATCATTTTCTCTTTGGCGTGCCATCTAAAATCTCTTCGTTTTAGCATAATTTTACAGATAAAGCAATCAAGATACTTTTTAAGTTTGTTTGTCGCTTGAGAAACGTTTCAAAAATTTTAAAAATTGAATATAACATAACAAAGTTGAAAAGTGTATTCGTTAGTTTTGAGCGTGTGTTACATAACATACAAAAGATTGAGATTCTCCTCTTAAAATGAATTGAGCATACCTAATTTGTGTACATAAACTCCTTTTCAACATCGTATAACAATTTGAAGCTAAGAAAGTAAAAAGTATATAAGATAAAGAATAGAATGAATCTATGTAATAATATGGTGGGCGGAGGCGGAAAGCTCATCTCAAATGAAAAAAAACAACTTGTCCCAAATTGTCAACAAGTATGAGATAACCCGTTAAAAGTTGTAACAACCTTGTTGATATCATCAGACTTGTTGCAAGGTTGTTCCAACAAGTCCGATACAGTCATGATATAACAATATTGTTACAATCTTGTGTCGTCAACCTTGTAACATTCTTGTTATATCATGACTGTATCGGACTTGTTAGAACAACCTTGTAACAAGTCTTGATGATAATGCCATCAAACTTGTTACACAAGTTGTTAACAGCTTGTTCCAAACTTGTTACAACAACTGGGAACAAGCAGTGCGAACACAACTTGTCGACAGCTTGTGAACAGATTTGTAACAACTTGTTTGCAGACTTGTAACAACTTGTGCGTTTTTTGTGAGCTCCGGCGGCAAAATTCAAACCTATATGATCTCAAAGATTTCACTAGGTGGCTGCTCTGTGCAACTTCGCCAGCGAAGCCCCAAATTCAAAATGTAAATATAGATATTATATACCGTGAATTTTAGATGCATTTGTAGTTAGAAAATAAGCCGTAATATACAGTGTGTTCCCCAAAAATACAATAGCTACGTTCCAGAATTTTTCAAAGCTATTTTTAGTGGTCATGTAAAGTTGTGGCTGTTCTAAAATAAAATAAAGTCAGTGTCGATAGGTTTAATGACCCCTTACTCTAAGCATTAACATTGATTCTTCTACGCCAATTTTAATGGACCTAGTTTCGTTGCGAAATGTTGTAAAATGCGGATAATATAGCCTGCGAAATTTGCCGTTTTTCAGTCATTTTGTATTACGCACGGGAAATTGTTACCTTTTTTCAGAAAGCGGTATCCATCTCCTGTGCGTATTACAAAATGACTGAAAAACGGCAAACTTCGCAGTGCTATATTATCCGCATTTTACAACATTTCGCAACGAAACTTCGGAATATTACTAATTTTGTGATGCTCTTTCAAGCCGTGATGAAATGTTTATCTAGACTTGTCTAGATCAAAATTTTGTTCATTAGGTAATAGGTCCATCTCAGCGTCAAATTTTATCTCTCAGATTGAATTTTCAATGTCCACTAAGAATTAGCCGTGTACAATTCTGCGACCAGCGTGAAAGCGATTACGTTTAATGTCAAAATAAATGTATGATTGTTTGGCCAAATAAATTGTATGAAATAAAAATGGTATAAAGTATATGCCGGTGTGTATATGAATAAATAAGCTTGTAGAATTTAGTACTTTGAAATCTTGTGCTTTTGCAATTTACTTGACTTTCGTTGGTATTTTATACTAAATGGCGACAATATATTAAATAATTAATTTAATCATAATTTTGCATTTCAAAATATGTTGTATACAACTCGCTGCTGAGTTAAGCATGGTTCGACCATACAAAGGAGTAAAAATCTCACATCTTGTAGCAAGTCTGCCAAGAACAAGTTTGGAACAAGCTATTAACAATTTGTAACGACCTTGTTGATATTATCAGACTTGTTGCAAGGTTGTTCCAACAAGTCCGATACAGTCATGATATAACAATATTGTTACAACCTTGTATCGTCAACCTTGTAACATTCTTGTTTTTCATGACCGCATCAGACTTGTTAGAACAACCTTGTAACAAGTCTGATAATGCCATCAAGCTTGTTACAAGTTGTTAACAGCTTGTTGCAAACTTGTTACAACAACTGGGAACAAGCAGTGCGAACACAACTTGTCGACAGCTTGTGAACAGATTTGGAACAACTTGTTTGCAGACTTGTAACAACTTGTGCGTTTTTACGTGCGTAAGCCAAGGCTCTAAACACTTTCCAGTTTTAATGATTTTTTTTTATTTTTTATTTAAAAAAAATTTTTTTTTTTTTTTTTTGCGACTGTTTATCAATTAGTGAAGCCGTAATCAATGATCAGACCATCGAAATTTTGTCTACTATGATGTAATATGTAACTTAATAATTATGACGTCATAAACATTCGTAGAAAAAGCAAGCGCACGAAAATTCACGAAATTTTCCACAGTTTTAAAAGTTGATGAAAAATGGAAAACGAGGTAAGAAACGGCGGAATTTGTTATCTACACAGGTAAAAACCCACAAGTTGTAACAAACCTGCAGCAGACTTGTAGCAATGCTGTTCCAACAACTTGTCAACAGGATGTGTTCGCACTGCTTGTTCCCAGCTTGCTGCAAGGTTGTTGAGCTCAACAGACTTGTTACAAGTTGCTCCAATAACTTGTTATCGTCCTGCAATTCAACAAGTTGCGAGTGACAACCTTGTAGCAACTTGATAAAATACTAGCATTGTTACAACTTGTTGACAAGCTTGCTACAAGCCTGTTGCGAACACATCTTGTTGACAAATTGTGAAATTTTTAGGTATGTATATTGTACTCAGGAAAATAAAACACTCGAAATAACATGTTGAAGACATTTTGTAAATAAAACGAGAACAAGAGTTGCATGAGAGTTGACAAGCGAGAGTTTGCATGAGAGTTTTCTCAACTTTCATTGCTTGGTCAAACGAGAACAAGAGTTGCATGAGAGTTGACAAGCGAGAGTTTACATGAGAGTTTTCTCAACTTTCATTGCTTCATCAAACGAGAACAAGAGTTGCATGAGAGTTGACAAGCGAGAGTTTACATGAGAGTTTTCTCAACTTTCATTGCTTGATCAAACGAAAACAAGAGTTGCATGAGAGTTGACAAGCGAGAGTTTACCTGAGAGTTTTCTCAACTTTCATTGCTTGATCAAACGAGAACAAGAGTTGCATGAGAGTTGACAAGCGAGAGTTTACATGAGAGTTTTCTCAACTTTCATTACTTGATCAAACGAGAACAAGAGTTGCATGAGAGTTGACAAGCGAGAGTTTACCTGAGAGTTTTCTCAACTTTCATTACTTGATCAAACGAGAACAAGAGTTGCATGAGAGTTGACAAGCGAGAGTTTACATGAGAGTTTTCTCAACTTTCATTGCTTGATCAAACGAGAATAAGAGTTACATGAGAGTTGACAAGCGAGAGTTTACATGAGAGTTTTCTCAACTTTCATTGCTTGATCAAACGAGAACAAGAGTTGCATGAGAGTTGACAAGCGAGAGTTTACATGAGAGTTTTCTCAACTTTCATTACTTGATCAAACGAGAACAAGAGTTGCATGAGAGTTGACAAGCGAGAGTTTACATGAGAGTTTTCTCAACTTTCATTGCTTGATCAAACGAGAACAAGAGTTGCATGAGAGTTGACAAGCGAGAGTTTGCATGAGAGTTTTCTCAACTTTCATTGCTTGATCAAACGAGAACAAGAGTTGCATCAGAGTTGAAGCCTGTTCCAACTATGTTTTAACTTAAATAGAATACATGATAATGTTGGGAAAGCATTAAGAACAGCTAACCAAGATCGCGTGACAGGCACCATTATTATTGCAGGTAGAATTAGGTCAAATTCCAAGCAATGCAGTTCAACAAATACCAGAGGTTCGTTCATCCAGTAACACACGCTGGCCTGCAGACCTCGTCATTTCAATCATCTCCTCCTTGCTGTGTTTCCCGCCACTTGGCATCTTGAATTTCATAAAATCCCGACAGGTAATGGAACCTATATAATTGTAGAAAGTATTTCATTTATACTGGTGGCTCCAGTAAGAATCATCTCTTATTGATCCAGTGTTACTACAGGAGGAAACCTAAACTAAACTATAACTTTATTTATGACTGGTGGCTCTATCAGTTCTAAACTATTCTTCCTAGACGTCCAGTAAGGATCATCTCTTATTTATCCAGTGTTACTACAGGAGGAAACCTAAACTAACTAACTTTATTTACACTGGATAGGTCTATCGGTTCTAAACTGTTCTTCCTAGAGGTCCAGTAAGAGTCATCTCTTAATGATCCAGTGTTACTACAGGAGGAAACCTAAACTGAACTAACTTTATTTATACTGGATAGCTCTATCAGTTCTAAACTATTCTCCCTAGAGGTCCAGTAAAGATAATCTCTTATTGATCCAGTGTTACTACAGGAGGAAACCGAAATTAAACTAACTTTATTTATACTGGATAGTTCTATCAGTTCAAAACTGCTCTCCCTAGAGGTCCAGTGAGGATTATCTCTTAGTGATCCAGTGTTACTACAGGAAGAAACCTGAACTATATAAACTATATAACTTTGTTTATACTGGATAGCTCTATCAGTTCTAAACTGTTCTCCCCAGAGGTCCAGTAAGGATCAGTACAGTCATAATTTGAGACCATGCAGTATTAATTCCAGTCTCTCTTCTATAGTACCGCAAGCAAACGCTATCCCAAGATGCAGTTCAATCACTGTCACGTGACAGCCGCCAGATCGCACTGATCTCGTGTTTCATGGGAGTGACGTTCATTGCTATGATTACCATTGTCATGTTGTTGCAATTCTTATATTTTCAACTGCAAGCTGACGACATGAAGTTGTCATGGCGACGAGAATATTATACCACGACACTAAATCTTACCGCTGGCCTTACTGTACATTAATATTAAATATACATTAAAATTTCATCAAATATATTACATTGATATCGAAGGAACTAGATTCTGTTCCGAAATATCACATACTCGAACCGACCAGACCGCGTAGCTCAGTTGGCAGAGCATTGGGCTAGTATTCCAAAGGTCGTAGGTTCGATTCCCACCGTGGTCAGGCATATTTTTCAAGCTTGCCCGGTGTGGATATACACTCAGAGCATCACAAACATCATATATCTAATTGGTTTTCGAAATAATGCTAATGCGGGCATCCATGATTCTGTGATGCACAGGCGCATAAAAGAAAAGACAATCCAGCTTTAAACTCTCTAAACTGCCTGAGTGCACGGAATTAATTTTTTCATGTTAATAAAGATTAGGGTTTTGGGTTTCGTACGACATCTTTTTTGTATCATTTCAAACAACACTGAGCAAACACAAGCAGATTGAAAATTGCCGGTGAAAATCACATTCGCCCACCCATGTACATTATGAAAGTAATCCAGAACAAAGGAATAAACAATTAGCCTCTAATGCGTCACATCAAGCAATAAGCTTCACACAGAAGTGACTAGATGATATTAGGGCTTTTTATAATTAAATGGGTGATTCCAGCTCTGCCTAAATTTTGATCTGCAAGGCGAGAACAACGAAATCCAACACCACAGCTTTTGTATATATTTTCGGCTCAAAAATGATTATTTTTCCCGCGCGTAATGCAAATCTATACAAAATTGGCGAACTTCACAGGGCTATACTTTCCTCACTTTACAACAATTCGCAACCAAACTTTGCAATTTTACTCATCTTAAAATGCTCTTTCCAGCTATGGTAATGGCTTTCGTTCTTCTTGTTTAGATCAAAATTTCGTCTATATAGCTGTGAATCATCCATTAACAGATCATGAATTAAATCGACGTTGTTGACCTTGAGTACTCGACCAATGGATAAACTCTTTCTCGGCACTCGACTTCGCGCCCACTCACCATTTTGTACTGGTCTTTACACGCGTACTTGTCCCACCCAGAAGGAAATATATGACCAAATATAGGTTAATGCGGAATACATGTTATAGAGGACAAGCTCCGCGCGGAAATTAGCTTTTCTTAAGGCCGTTTTCCACTAGGCGAATTTTTTCGCGCGACGCGAAGCGAAAACCGAAATCCGGCAACGTGATTGGTCGGCGAAAAAATTCGCGGCGAAAAAGTAGGATCGCTTCCTACTTTTTATCTGTTCGCGCGAATAAATTCGCCTAGTGGAAAACGGCCTTTATACGCGTGCCAATACTCGCCATTGTTGGGCTAGAGTTTTCCCTCCTCAAAGAACAGTATAGACAATTGTGACTTTGTTAACACGGATGCGAGAATGCCGAAGGGGACCTGGATTAAAAATTGTGTTTGCGTGAGCTTATGGTAATCTTCAACACATGTGAAAAAACAGAAGATTTTTAAGTTTTTTTTTCGCCTCACACGAGCGCAATGATGCAAAATTCCGCGAAAATGAGTTAATCCAATGTTCGGGAAACGAATCGCTAATTAGTTATTAGAGAGTTTAAGCTTCGCGTTATACGTCAAACGGCAAACGGCAGGCAAAGAAAAATTTTACGGTGTCAGGCAATAAAGAGTAAATGAACTTGCTGTTTTAAAACTGCAATGCATGAATTATTCTTTCGGCACAAGAAAGATAATATTCGTTCAACGAGTTCGGCAAAAAGCAGGTGAGCTCAACGACAAGCTCACCTGCTCTAAACCAATCAGAAAGCCGCTTTTAACACAGGTATATATGGGATAATGCTCGTGGACAACCTTAATTGAAATAGCTGTAATCCTGTATGATACACTCAATTGCACGCGCCAATTTGTGAATGTGTTTTATTAAGGATTATATAATTGTAAAGACTTGGCAACGTTACAACGTCAAATCTTACAGGATATAAATTATAAAAGTAACTTTATGACTATACAAGGTCTATATTATGTTTGCATTCAATAGGAAAGATTAAATTTATGGTGCATAAATAATAAATTAAGTTTCTATGTGGTATAGCATATTATATCGATTGATAATGAAATTATACTCTTACATGACACAAAGTTTTCAAACAGGAAAAGACTAACTTTTCCTTTCATTAGTAAACTAAAATCCCAATCATTTCCTCTTTTATGCAAACGATATATAACTAAATACCTAGATACGGTCTTTCATTCTCTTTTTAAAACGGAAACGAAGTTCAAAGCTTTTTATGGAAATATAGCTATTAATAGTCGAACACGCGGTCCAATATTTTGAGAGATTATACTCTAAGCAAATCCTGAGTAGTGAAACTGTCAGGGAAGGCAGTACAGCTGTTGACTTGCTTGGACCGATAACAATGAGAAACAATCGGAGTAAATAAATTGAAAAGACAACACGGAAACAGTGTAACAAGGAATAATATTGCTATAGGATAATTTCCAAAAGAAAACTGAGCAAAATTTAGGTAAGTTATCAAAGTTTAGAAGATAAACTCAGAATATTAACATCGTGTAAGCTCGAACTATTTAAACAAGTTGATATATTTCGACTTTATTTCAAAGTCTTTGTCATGATCTTAAATGTTAGCTTAAATGTTAGATTCAAAGTCTTTGTCATGATCTTAAATGTTAGCATTCCTCGGGTCCTTGCGAAATAGTCTGCCGGCCGGGCTGGTAGTTTATAGTCGTGAAATATAAAGAGCTGATCAGTTGGGGTCTAGTATAGCAACTTCAAACAGTCCTGAAATACCGCACTGTGATTTCAGTCTCTGGCTTACATTTCAAATGGTCAGTTCTCAGTGTAACAGGTCTTTAAATACGTAGTATTCGAATATGAATTGAACATTTAAAGTCGAGTCATCACACCGCAGCAACTGAAATATTTGCGGTCAAAACACAACGCGGATAATTTGTAAACGTCCTTGAACTAATGAACTCGTGTATTCAGAAACAGCGGGACTAATGGCTGCTTCACACCGGCTATCAAAGTTTCTGTGATCACAGAAGTATATTCTAAATTTTTGAAGGATTTGTAAGAAATATTTTGAGGGACTGACTTAGTATTGAAACAATGAATCAGTTCCCTGAAACATTTCTTACAAATCCTTCAAAACTTAGAATTTACCTATGCAAAATTCTCATATACATATCTCAAACGTGGTGGTCCAGTGTAGGTAGTATTCTACAATAAGCTGTCGTGGTTTGTGTCTGAACTACTTGAAAAAGATATCTCAAACGTGGTGGTCCAGTGTAGGTAGTATTAAAGCTGAACTACCTGAAAAAGATCTCTCAAACGTGGTGGTCCAGTGTAGGTACTGATTCTACAATAAGCTGTCGTGGTTTGTGCCCGAACTACCTGAAAAAGATATCTCAAACGTGGTGGTCCAGTGTACGTAGTATTCTACAATAACCTGTCGTGATTTGTGTCTGAATTACCTAAAAAAGGATTCGTCGTCAAACCGCGGCAGAATGTTGTAGAATACTATACCTACATGTTGGATGCATGCCTGGGGTTTGAGATCTCTTTCTCAATTGTTCCCTTCGGCAACAAAAACCACGACAGTTTATTGTACAATACTGTCCGCTACAACACACTAGACCCCCACTATCAACCAGTTGCTACCGGTATACCCAATTCACTCAAACATTATGAGAACAACTATGACGGCCAAATGCACGAAAGTTGGCTGAAAATATGGGCAGGGTGGCAACTGATTATGTTTCTGTTATTCAGTCACTTATAGAAAAGTATTTTAAGATAAGTTGTTAAAAAAACGTGCACGTTTTTAAATGGTCCAATATATAATCTTTCCTGCCAATTCGATAAGTTTATTTTCTACTGTATAGTTGTTGCTTAGCGAATAATTACGCTACCCCACATGATAAGGGGCGAGATAAAGACGTCATTAGTAGCGATATAATTAACGAGTGATAATTATCAAACTTCTTGCAACATACATGTCATTTGTCATGTTCTGAGGTGACAGTATAATGTTATAATGTAATGACTTTGGATTCGATTAAAGTTTTAAAAGTTTGACCAGGTTGGTAGATTTAATAGAGCAACCGTGGCCTTCACACTAGTATATGATAACTCACAATGGAATAAAGGTAAATTGATTGTGTTTCTTAATTTTAAAGTGCCTATGTCTATGACACGAAATTTCACCCCAAATGTTTATGGTTGCATTGTAAAGATCACTTAAAATGACTTAATAATTTCTTTTATAGAATTTTGGTAACTTGCTCCCTTTTCAAGATATTCAACTTTGTTTCATATGCAAATATCACCGGTGTAACATCACATCACATAATGAGTTTTCAGAAAGGTACAGTTTTCTTGACGAATACGTATCTAAAAAACTTAAAAATTGCCCTTGTATATGTATTAATTTCATAACTGGTAATTAACCCTCTGTATTTGTTTGAAAAAATATTTTATCAAGGTAAAATATTGCGTTATCAAAATTTCATTATGTGATGTGATGTCACACCGGTGATATTTGCATATGAAACAAAGTTGAATATCTTGCAAAGGAAGCAAGTTATCAAGATTCTATAAAAGAAATTATTAAGTGATTTTAAGTGATCTTTACAATGCAATCATAAACATTTGGGGTGACATTTCGTGTCATAGGCACTTTAATTAGGGCTGGCTTACACTGACTATCAAAGTTTTGAAGGATTTGTAAAAAATGTTCGAGTTAGTTCTTACAAATTGTTCAAAACTTAAAATTTACCTAATATATAAAATTCCTACTGTGATCACAGAAACGTTGATATAAATGTAAACCACGATGCTTTAATACGGTCTCGTAGATCTTGACACCGTACAGTATGTTGAAACTACACAGTAGGCAGGACACTTAATTGTGGGCACCTCTGGCCTTTTAAGAACGCCAGCTTGTAAAACAAGTACTTTTCTAAGTCCTTACTTCGTCGTTAGGATTGTAAAACTGTGGAATTATGTTTTTAAATCTGCTCCTTCCAATAGACCGTACCCCTTATGAGTGAAATTTTGATCTAGATTTTCATCACAGCTTGAAAGAGCATCACAAAATTAGTAATATTCCAAAGTTTCGTTGCGAAATGTTGTAAAATGCGGATAATATAGCCTTGCGAAGTTTGCCGTTTTTCAGTCATTTTGTATTACGCACGGGAAATTGATAATCAGTTTGATCATCTGATAACCAATTTCCCACTTGTAATGCAAAATGACTGAAAAACGGCAAACTTCGCAAGGCTATATTATCCGCATTTTACAACATTTCGCAACGAAACTTTGGAATATTACTAATTTTGTGATGCTCTATCAAGCTGTGATGAACTTTTTGTCCAGACTTGTCTGGATCAAAATTTCACTCAAAAGGGGAAAGGTCTATTGCTACGACACTCTCTCCACCACCTGACTGCTAGTGCCCACACTCCTGACTTACCTACCTCACACTCATTCATCACGACTGAAGTACAACTAATATCTTCCAGGTCATTCATTCTAAGCTGTTCAATTCAAATAAATGAATTAATGTGTGCTTGCTATTCATATCTAGATACGACTAATACTGCAAGTTATTTACAAACGTCAGGCATGATTCACTATCATCTCTACGAGATATAACAACGAAACCAAGTTAATTCACCAAAGAAATTAAAGACACCGCGAAAGTGACCAAGAACCATTGAAACCAACCAAGGAAAACAGAATTGTCGCGGATTTTAGAACAAGTAAAAGCAATTTCTCTAAAGAAACAAAGAACTATCTAAGACTATATATCACAAGGATATCTCTCATCGAACTATGAAAGAAATAAGCGGAGCTGACTTTATGCCTATTGATGGTCAGTTGGCTCGAATTCTAAGCGCTGTCAACGGTTTCTCGTGCGCGTTCGGCAGCGTGGGAAATTTTGCGTTAATCGCAGTCATATTACTTCACAAGCAACTCCATGGCGCTTCGGAAATACTCTTAATGTCTCTGGCATTTGCGGACTTCTTGACATGCGCAGTGTACCTGCCGTTGCTCCTCATGAGAATAAACACCAATGAGAAACTACCTACTCTCATGAACCAATCGCGTCGCGCCATTGGCCAAGCCGTCGTAGTTTGCGGTAGTTTGAACTTGCTCATGTTAACGGTGGATCGCCTCGTGTTTTTCTACCGGCCGTTACGCTATGCGTATTGGATGCGTAAGAAGATTATCACCACAATAATTATCATAATTTACGGAATCTCGTTATTTGTTGGTTTCTACGCGTATTTTGACATGATAAAATCACAGTACCCAAAAATCGGTTTGGTCGGCGTACCGATGCTGGGATTTTTTACGCTGCACTACGCGATATACCGGCTAGCACGGACGCACCGGAATCAAGTGGTCAATCAGGAACAGTCGTTACAACATAATTATAACATTAACAGCAGGGTTATGATACAAGCGAGACGTAACGTTCGAACAGTCATGCTGTTTGGAATATTATACCTTGTAACTTGGCTGCCTGTGACAATTTTTCAATTATGGCGTTCGGTCACAAATTACCACGATCCCGAATCGTTTCAGAAATATTTCTATCTACTGTTAACAATCCAACAAATCAGCGCGTCTATTGACCCGTATCTCTGTTGCTATCGGAACAACAAAGTGAAAGCCGTCTTTAAGAAACTCGTGCGGATCAGGAAATATCTAAAAGTTGGGGGATTAGGAAGTTCGGCTTGCATTACGACATCATTGTCTATGAGTGACGGGCTCGATTCGGGGAAAGGTAATAGGAAATTGTCTGCAGTTGGCAAAGCTGCAGTCGTTTCTGAGAGTTTGGAGAATATGTTAGGGGCTAAAGTATTGAGGCAGTTAGATGATGATACAACAAACAGCGGCGATAATTTGGACAGGATTATAAGCATATCTAGTAGTCTCGAGCGGGCGTCGCCGAACGAATACGAGAGCTTTGAAAGCATTTACAAGATTGAAAGTTTGGAACGAACAATAACGAGAGACGATAATTTGGAGAGGATTATCAGTATTTCTAGTACGGAGCGCGCTTCCCCGAATGAATACAAAAGCTTTGCAAATATATGCAAGATTAGAAGTTATAGTTTTGACTCTAATGTGGGTACGAATTTGGACCGATTCTCTGTAGAGAAATCTACTAGTTATAGTTTTGACTCTAATGTGGGTACGAATTTGGACCGATTCTCGGATTCTCTGTTAGAGAAATCTACTACAGAGAAATCTACTACAGAGAAATCTACTACAGAGAAATCTACTACAGAGAAATCTACTACAGAGAAATCTACTACAGAGAAATCTACTACAGAGAAATCTACTACAGAGAAATCTACTACAGAGAAATCTACTACAGAGAAATCTACTATAGACAAATCCACTACAGAGAAATCTACTACAGAGAAATCTACTACAGAGAAATCTACTACAGAGAAATCTACTACAGAGAAATCTACATTAAACTTGTCTGAAGGCTTAGAGAATGTACACAAGACTGAAGTATTGGAACAATCACACGATGTTGATTTGGAGAAGATTACACACATCTCTTGTACAGAAAATCCTGGATCGGATGTATCTCAACACACAAGTGAAGTGGAACAAACAGTGTTTAGTAGTGATACCATCCACTGTGATTCGGGGAAGAAAACAGACTCATCTACTGATGTTATCATGAAGCAGTCTGCGCTGAGTGAATTTGGAAGGTCGGTACAAAATATAAACGAGGACACAAATCGGAGCGAGAAAGCAGAAAATTCGGGAGAGATAGATTCATTAACCTCGGATGAAGTGGTTTCAAATTTGAGCAAAACGAAAGAATTCTCTGGTATGGAACATTCTGAAGAGAAAGAACTGTTCGAACAGCCGTTGGAACAATCTTTAGAACAATATTTAGGATCAGAACAAACATTTGAACAATCTTTACGATCAGAACAATCATTTCAACAATCTTTAGGATTAAAACAATCTTTAGAACAATCTGTAGCGTTGGAGAAATGCGGTGAATCACAAATTTCTGGTGGAGTGAAGAATTCAAGTCTAACAGAAGAGGCTGTCAATGAACAGTCTATGGTATTGAATATACCTAGGAGTGTTGACGATCATGAGACTACAACGAAGCTGTAACTTTATATATTGTAAGAGATTATTGGCATATTCTATACATACTATAAATAAAAATATTATAACTGTAAGTTTTGTAAAATATTGCAAACTATATATATATATGAATTGAATTGTAATAAATCTTATATTTATTTCCCATTCTCGAAATAATTGCATATATTTGAATTCCGAATTTAGTATTTCACATCACAATAAAAATTTTAAAATCTGTTACGCTAAAACTATCGCATACAACCTGCTTACAACTTGAGTTGTATTGTGTAAATCAAGAAAGAACACAACTCACCTACCCATGCAACAGTTTTAGGCAAAAGTTATGCAGTGTAAATCAGCTTTAAGGAATTCTAGATTTTATATTTTATTAAAGCATAAACATTTGGGGAAATCAAACTCCGAGAGGGAAAATTCGTATCAAAATTTATATAGTCATAGACCATTGTATTGCCAAAAACTAGAGTAGTGTATCTAAATGTATCCGAGTATCGTGTGTAAGTAAGCCTTTGTTTTAACTGCTGAAAGCAAAAATAGACTGAAACCCACCCTTCCTGACAAACTTGGCCGGTAGAGTGATGAGTTATTTTTAGAATCACTTCATTCTTCAAGAATGTCAAGATGCTGAATGCTGTAAAGTCCCTCTCTCCTCCGCAGAGCCTCCTTAAGTATTTACAAATAACTTACATGAAGTTTCCTGAATAAAAGTGATCGCGCGCGGTGTGATGGGAAGACTGAAATTTCGCTCTTCCCATCACTCCTTGCGCGCTCACTTTTCCCTCACTAGAAACTTCATGTAATGTAAACAAACGCTTTGTTTACTTTTTGAATTGATATTTGTAAAATATGATATACTAACTGAATATACTAACTTTTCTGGTTCACTATGCTTGTAAATGAATATATAAACCCTACGTTTCAATTCAAAAAATTTCGAAAGATGCAAAATTTGGGCAATGTTTATATCTGCGGGTCCCCCTTTGTTTTGAGCAGAACTGATGCGCAGAACGGATTTTACATCATCTTTAAACTTACAAAGATCCGTTGTGTATTTATCTGTTTAATGACTTCCACCAACTTTGACATACAGTAAATCTAAAATAAGGAGAACATGAAAATCTGGTATCTATCCCTGTAATTGTATGTTGCCCATGATTCGTACGATGTTGTATATAAAATAGGTTACGGGTATTTTAAACAACATTTTACAACCTATTATTTACACAATTTAAATGGCGACTTCTTTCAATGAAATACACAGTAATTACTCCATATTCAACGGTAGCTATTCTAGTAAAAACACTTCGAAAAAACTTTTAAAACCGATTTTAATTTTAAAAACAAAATTAAAATTAATTTCATTTTCAAAATTGCCGCCATTTTGAATTATCATGATGTCACACGTGGGGTTCTCGCGTGAGGATCCCGCAACAAATATTCAAGATGGCGACTGCTCTAAGAGCGGTAGAGTTCTATAGCGGAATTGGAGGCATGCATTATGCTTTACAATGTAAGTTAGAGTCAAATTGAAATGTTTGAATGAGAACTTTAGGACTTGGTGTACCTTGAGAAAGCTTTTATATGAATGTCGAGTATATATATTCGTGTATATATCGCAAATATTGAAACTCGTTCACTCTGCCGAAATATTATAAAGACGCTCTCAAAAATAATAATGCACTCAATTCTCAAAGTGATTTATTGCAGTGATTTTAAAACACTGACATATTACTCTACTGTATACAGCTAATTCAAAAAAGGTGGCCTTTGCAAAGCTTAAAGGTGATCTACAGTCCGTATGTAAACAAAGCCTTTGTTTACATTTTTGTGTCCAAAATATTGAGCTTTATTCGACAACTATTTATATTTTCAAGCTTCTAGAGTATAATAAATGATCAAGAAACAACAATCAGGCTTTTCAAGAACTCAAAACATAGTGAAACTGTTTGTATCATAAAAAGTGGGCTCATTTGTGCACATGCGCAGATCGGACTGTAGATCACCTTTAAGTTACTCTAAACATTAAACCTTGGCCCATTTCTTAGTGACATGGTAACTATCTCCATACGAGAACAATTCAATCACAAATAGCTGCAATATTTAACTACTAAGCTTGAAACTTGTGCTCCCATTAAGCTTTGCGCGCTTAGAGTTTAAGGTTTAGAGTTTAAGGTTTGCAAAGGACAACCTTTTTTGAATTGGCTGTATATTAGATGATGTACTAGTTATTATTGTCATCACAATAATTCATGATAAAATTATGAACGAGTAACGATCCATTTTTACATTTTTAGCAAGTGCGGTCGCTGTAAACGTTGTGGCAGCCATCGATATAAACACGACAGCTAATGAAGTATACGCCCACAATTTTCCCGACACAGTTTTAATGAATCGAAATATAGAGGTTAGAATGACTTGAATGGACCTATTACCTAATGAACAAAATTTTGATCTAGACAAGTCTAGACAAACATTCACCACAGCTTGAAAGAGCATCACAAAATTAGTAATCTTCCGAAGTTTCGTTGCGAAATGTTGTAAAATGCGGATAATATAGCCCTGCGAAGTTTGCCGTTTTTTAGTCATCTTGTATTACGCACGGGAAATTGATTGAATTGGACCGCTTTCTGAAAAAAGGTATAAATTTCCCGTGCGTAATACAAAATGACTGAAAATTGCAAACTTCGCAGGGCTATATTATCCGCATTTTACAACATTTCGCAACGAAACTTGGGAATATTACTAATTTTGTGATGTTCTTTCAAGCTGTGATGAAATTTTTGTCTAGACTTGTCTAGATCAAAATTTTGTTCATTAGGGAATAGGTCCATTAGTATTTTCTTATCTGTGTAAATAACTACATCGTCTTGAATCGTGATGGACGATTCTGACCAAGTATCTCTTCTTCGCCATCTACAGGGTATAAAACTGGCTCAATTTATGAAATTCGATGCAGATATCTTTACCATGTCACCGCCGTGCCAGCCATTCACAAGGTTCGTTGCGTTTACTGGCGTCTCGAAACGCAGCTTCTTTTAAGAGGAGATTTTTTTGTATGTTACGTAACACGCGCTCAAAAGTAATGCGTATAATATACCACTTGAGGTTATGACTAAATTCAAAATTTTTATTTTTCGATACGTTTTTCAATCGGCAAACAAACTTAAAAAGTATGTTTAGTGCTTTATCTGTAAAATAATGCTGAGATTTTAGATGATACGCCAAAGAGAAAATGATGTCTGAAGTTCAGTAAGTTTTGCTTATATGCATGCATGGTTGTAAATATGGCGTCAATTTTAAAGTATCATTGATAATTGTATTTTCATTGACAATTTTTGACTATTATTTTATGTTTCTCAACCGGGAGATGCATTTAAAAAGGTAGCTAACTCTATAAACTAGAGAATAAAGCTATATAAAACCAAGTAATTTTGAGAGGAACACCAAAAACGTTTTGGCGTTCTTCTCAAAATTACTTTGTTTTAGCTTTGTAAAAGATTTTAGGTTTTGAGCACTTTTCATTGCACATACGTGACATTGAAAAAGATTGTCTCTTAATTAAAGAGATCTCTAACTACCAAATGGCTTTTTATTTAAATCTAGGCAGGGGAATCAAAAAGCATCCGATGATCCGAGGACAAAAAGTTTTTTGTACATCATGAAAATTATTAGAAGGTGCAATATTTGAAGGGCTCGCATATGAGTCGAAAATTGACGGTGTTATTTTTTGTCTAATTTGAAAGATCATTGAAAACTGTAGAGTAACTTCTTTGATAGATTTTTGCTTTCTTGCTTCGTTTTGAAGATAATTCATTTCGTATGATATGCAAAGCACCAACTTTCTACGTCACATCTGCATAATGATTTAGCCCTTAAAGCTGTATATCTTTAATAGGACTAAACACAATCTGTAGAAAACCTACATGGGTGTTGTTGTGGGCAAATCTCGTGCTCATCATTCATTTTGAGCGAATTTATTTGATAGTGACAAAATTATAGAACATTTTAAAGTAAGTCAATATGCATGTTTGACGTATAAAGTTGGTCCTTTGCATATCATACAAAATGAAATATCTTCAAAACGAAGCAAGAAAACAAAAATCTGTCAAAGAAGTTACTTTACAGTTTTCAATGATATTTCAAATTAGACTAAAAAATAACACCGCCAATTTTCGAGTAATGAACGTTCATGCATTCATTATTTTCCACAATAGAAAAATCAATGTCTTTAACGTGTGGTATTCTTTTCTTAATAGTCTATCGAAACCTCCCTCTTATATTCTCATGGAAAACGTTAAAGGATTTGAAGTTTCTGAAACCAGGTATGAATACAGCATACTGATTTCGTGTAAAAACATTCAAATTATTGAATAGACAATTCCCATGATTATAGACTAATTTTAAAACTAGGCAAAGAGATGCAAATAAATCACCACAGCTAGAAAGAGCATACTAAAATGAGTAAAATTGCAAAGTTTGGTTGCGAAATGTTGTAAAATGCGGAAAATATAGCCTTGCAAAGTACGCTAATTTTGTATACTTTTGTATTGCGTGCGAAAATTGCTACCATTTTCGGTCCAACTGTGGTAGCAATTTCCGCACGCAATACAAAAGTATACAAAATTTGCGAAATTTGCAAGGCTATATTTTCCGCATTTTACAACACTTCGCAACCAAACTTTGCAATTTTACTCATTTTAGTATGCTCTTTTTCCGGGAATATACTTTTTTTGCCAAGATAAAAAGTTAGTCTATAATGCGAATTGTCTATATATTGACCAGGATGTGAGGATGGAACTAACTTCATTTGTTGTGGTTTGTTGTAGAGAAGAATTTATAAGAACCATACGTGAAACAGATTACTGTTTTCAGGTGAACTAACGTGATGAGTAATTCATTGTAGCTTTATTTGCGCAGTGTGTTAAACAATGTGGTTGTTTAATCCATTCTTCTCTATGTTATATAGGAATTTCTGTTAAGCCCATCACAGGTACGTTCTCTCATTGCGGAATCTTACACAACGCATGCTTTATACGTAACACGCGCTCAAGGGAAGAGCCTGGGAACGAGGTTGCTATTGAATACACTTTTCCACTTGCTTATTACTATATTCAATTTTTAAAATTTACTGTGGGCCCTTTTAATATATAATAACTAGAAACAACAATTTATAACACTGTTCAAACTACGACAAGAGTTACAGTTTAAACACACAGATTTCCACGTTTTTGGATCCTCTGCATCATAACAACTATGCAGGGCTTCCAAATAATAGTTCCGCAGCAATCTTTTAAATGTACTTAACAACATATTTGGCTGTCTTAAGTTTGTTGGAAGACAGTTCCAAACTCTTGTGGCAACTCTTGTCTCAACTTTACAGCATCAATGATAATTGTATTTAAATTGATAATGTTTAACTATTATTTTGTGCTTCTCAACCGCCAGAGATACATTTAAAAAGGTCGCTACAAAATATAACTATAGAATAAAGTAATTTTGGGAGGAACGCCAAAACGATTTTAGCTTTTGAATACTTCTCATCGCAAATACTTATCGCTGTGTAATGTATTCTCGTTTTGTTGTAGTTTGGAGTTCCGAACTCAAGGCTCAGATATTTCTTGATCGCTGTGCATAAGCCATTACAACTGCCTTTTCCAGAAACTGATTCAGTAAGTTGCCTTTTCAGTAAGTATATCTCGTAATGAGATTATATTTCGCCTACGATGGGATCTCCCCTAGAAAGGTCCAGCACCACCCTAAAAAATCTGCTTGAACTTCTATTGTTAGCGCGTGTCGATTTCTTGAAACGATTCAATTGATTTGTGAGCTCACGAGAAAATAATCGGAATGCTTTAGTTAAATATCATGGTTAAATTTATGTAAACATGTCGAAGTTGTTATACGGCCATATTTTCAAATATACTGTACTTTAACAAGCAAATTTACTGTACTGTGCTACAGCAATTGTCCAGTCACGCATACGTGATAAAAAGCAGATATAAATGTTATAAACAATAAATGTAAAACGTAACAGAACGGCGGACATGCAGATTCGGTCATCTCAAATAATGGTAATGTTGGGATAGTAGCGTTGCAGACTGCAGAGGAGAGTGGACAGTAAGGCTCCCTCATACACCACCCCATAGAAAACCTACACCCCTCCTTGCAGATGAGGCTAGATCCGCCCCTAGCATATCATTCATTCTGTATAAGCATATTTTCCCCCAACTAGATAATGAAGAGTATTCCAGCTGCCCCAAACTTAAACACCAACAGTAAACCATGTTCGAACTTCAGCGCGGATAATCCTAGATCACACTGCCCGATTTGCAACAAACAAACCTTAGAAGCATCCAATTCCACAGAATTTCAATCAAATAAAACAACGAACAACACTGAACATCACCCGTTAGCTGTGCAAAGAGAAAGTCTTACAAATAAAACGGAATCTACGGACTTCGCTGAAGGAAATTGCAGCTTAAATTTGGAGAACATAAAAAGTAAAAAAGACTGCAAAGGCGTGAACGAAAGACACGATGAATCTACAATAAACTCAGCCTCAAATATTAGTATGGTAAACTCGAAAACAGGTTTACACGATGCGGAATGCCACAAAGACAAGAGCTGCGATCATATTTGGAATGGAATTAAAAATATTCAAGATTATTTGGAAGAGCGAAGAGAAAATTTCGAAGAATTTTTAGTACCGGAAAATATTCTTAAAAAGAAAGTTCTCTTAATGGGTAAGTGGGCGGGCGTGTTTTGTTGTTAACGATTTTTAATGCATGTCCATATAGCTAAGTTTGTTTATAACAATCAATTTTTCATTCTAGATATTGTTCACACGAAATGTAATCATTCTTGCTGTTTCACAAAAGGGTAATGTTTGTCAAATTGTCAACGAACAATAGCAAATGAAAATTCGTATAGTAAATTAATGGACCTATTACCTAATGAACAAAATTTTGATCTAGACCAGTCTAGAAAGCTGATCTAGACCAGTCAATCACAGCTTGAAAGAGCATCACAAAATTAGTAATATTCCGAAGTTTCGTTGCGAAATGTTGTAAAATGCGGATAATATAGCCCTGCGAAGTTTGCCATTTTTCAGTCATTTTGTATTACGCACGGGAAATTGATACCTTTTTCCAGAAAGCGGTATCGATTTCCTGTGCGTAATACAAAATGACTGTGAAAAACGGCAAACTTCGCAGGGCTATATTATCCGCATTTTACAACATTTCGCAACGAAACTTCGTAATATTACTAATTTTGTGATGCTCTTTCAAGCTGTGATGAAATTTTTGTCTAGACTTGTCTAGATCAAAATTTTGTTCATTAGGTAATAGGTCCATTCAAGAGATATATTCGTTGTTTTCCCAAATTTTCTAGTTATGCGCATTATGTGGAAGGCACCGGCTCAATATTACAGATGTCAAGTGTGGATGTAAGTGGTTATATTGGGTTGTGTGAGAACACTAGACTCTGTATGTGAACAAACTACACACGCGAAACTCTCACATCTTGTAGCAAGTCTGCCAACAAGACGTCAACAAGTTGTGTTCGCACTGCTTGTCCCAAGTTGTCAACAAGTTTGGAACAAGCTGTTAATAACTTGTAACAAGCTTGTTGATATTGTCAGGCTTGTTGCAAGGTTGTTCCAACAAGTCCGATACAGTCACGATATAACAATATTGTTACAACCTTGTGTCGTCAAACTTGTAACATTCTTGTTATATCATGACTGTATCAGACTTGTTAGAACAACCTTGTAACAAGCTTGTTACAAGATGTTAACAGCTTGTTGCAAACTTGTTGAGAACTTGTAACAAGCTTGATGGCATTATCAGATTTGTTACAAGGTTGTTCTAACAAGTCTGATACAGTCATGATATAACAAGAATGTTACAAAGTTGACGACACAAGGTTGTAACAATATTGTTATATCATGACTGTATCGGACTTGTTGGAACAACCTTGCAACAAGTCTGATATTATCAACAAGGTTGTTACAAGTTGTTAACAGCTTCTTCCAAACTTGTCGACAACTTGGGACCAGCAGTGCGAACACAACTTGTTGACAGCTTGTTGGCAGACTTGCTACATGATGTGAGATTTCTGTTGTTTCTGCTTCCTATAGTCAAGCTCGATATTTGAGAAATACAGCGAAGCGGATGAAGAAGGGAAAATAAAGCTATTGAGTCCTTTGGGACTGCGTTACTTCACACCAAGAGAGATCGCAAATATCCTGTGTTTTCCCAAGCATTTTGGTAAGCATGAATGAATTTCGTTTGAAGCAAAGTTGCTTTAAACCTGGTTCATATATGGTCGTACAAATAGAGTCACAATCTTTCTCAACGGCCAGTTTATAATAGTTTATGCCTGTAAATCATAAGTATTCTCTAGTTATAATCATTTCGCGTATTTCAGTTCTAAATTGTTGTATTTCGAAAGATCGTGACTCAATCTTTACGAGCATATGGAAACCAGGTTCAAAACTCTCACATTTTTTGTGATCTCACTAGGTATTTTGCATAGGTAAATTCTAAGTTTTCAAGGGTTTGAGGAAACTGACTTAATATTAAACACCGAGTTACAGTAGTTCCCTCAAACATTTCTTACAAATCCTTCAAAACTTAGAATTTACGTATGCAAAATTCCTATTCATGTGATCACAGAAACTTTAATAGTGTATACCAGGGTTTATACTTGCGCTGCGGAATTAAAAAATAATGATGTTATTATAACAGTTAAAGGCTGAGAAATTTTCGTAAAGGTTTACTGTATATAACTCTTTTTTCACTTTGTAGATTTTCCAGCGAAAGTGAGCAGGAAACAGAAATACCGTTTGCTTGGGAATAGTCTCAATGTTTTAGTCGTCGCAGAACTTATGAAAATATTGTTTAGCTCAGGGAGTAAATAAGAACAATTACTGTACATATATCACAATATTCGTTAAAAAATGTGTTCGTATAGCAGGATTTGTTTCCAAATGGTCGTAACGGGCAATTCCAGCTAAAAAACTAAATTTTGATCAAGGCACGACGAACGAAATCCAACACCACAGCTAGAAAGAGCGTCTTAGAATGAGTAAAACTGCAAAGATTGGTTGCCAAATGTTGTAAAATGAAGAAAATATAGCCCTGCGAAGTTCGCAAATTTTGTATATACTTGTATTATGCGCGGTAAAAATAACAACTTTCGGCTCAAAAATAGCTATTTTTCCCGCGCCTAATGCAAATATATACTGTACAACATTTGCGAACTTCACGGGCTACACTTTCCTCATTTTACAACAATTCGCAACCAAACTTTGCAATTTCACTCATTTTAAGATGCTCTTTCCAGCTATGGTAATGGCTTTCGTTCTTCTTGGCTAGATCAAAATTTCATCTATAGCTGTAATGTTCAAAATGATCATCATTATTCATTTCTTTAGAAACTAATTGTTTTCACAGTCAATGAACACGAAAATATTTGCATAGCGGGACTAAATTGTCGGACTGGCTAGGCCAGTTCGCGACCATATATGGCTTTAGTACCCAAGTATAAACATGCTAATTGACATTATGACTATAAACATGGACAAAAAATGACAAAGCTTTTCTTACTATTTGTTGTTTTGGGAAATGTCAACCAGTTCACACGCGTAAAAACGCACAAGTTGTAACGAACCTGCAGCAGACTTGTAGCAATGCTGTTCCAACAATTTGTCAACAGGATGTGTTCGCACTCAGCTAGTTCCCAGCTTGTTGACAAGTTGTGAACGGCTTGTCGACAACTTGCTACAAGGTTGTTGAGCTCAACAGACTTGTTAAAAGTTGTTCCAACAACTTGTTATCGTCAATTCAACAATTTGTCAACAAGTTGTGAGTGACAACCTTGTAGCAACTTGATAAAATACCAGCATTGATATTTGTGATGTTACTCTGAGAGTGTATATCCACACCGGGCGAGCTTGAAAAATATGCCCGGCCACGGTGGGATTCGAACCTACGACCTTTGGAATACTAGCCCAATGCTCTGCCAACTGAGTTACGCGGTCATGTCGGTTCGAGTAAGTGATATTTCGGAACATATTTTTCGGAACATAACCGAGCATATTTTTCAAGCTCGCCCGGTGTGGATATACACTCTGACTCAGAGTAACATCACAAATATCATATTCACCTGAGTACACAACACCAACACAGAAAAAAAATCATACCAGCATTGTTACAACTTCTTGACAAGCTTGCTACAAGCCTGTTGCAAACACATCTGGTTGACAGGTTGTGAGATTTGGACGTGTGTTAGATCGCGAAAATTTGTTACAGTACTTATAGGGTAGAATATGATAAATACAAGTAACAATGGACAGATGATTACAATGTAGGTTTATAACTTCCTATGTACATACGGTTTGTTGTGTTATGAATTCCTCGAAAGTCTCCAGTGAAGCAATATTTCTCCGAAGCAATAAATATTTCTCAGAAAAAAACCCTTTTTTTCACGGACGCAACGCATACCTAGAGAAAATATAATATAATTTTCCGAATACACTTCGCAACAAGACGCCGAGTACACACGCAATCTATATAAAAATCTCATCTATATTCTGTTAACTGGACATCACCATGGATAATAAAATACATGGATAGGAAACTAGCTGACGTGACCTAATGTTTTCAATGGGATGATGGCGTTGAAACCTAGTTGCAAACCAAATTCTCAAAAACGGCATGTTTAGCAATAATACAGCTAAACATTTTAGTCAAAGAGCAAATGAATATAACTACGCCATTCTACAATGAAATTTCTAAGTATTCCCGGTCAATTTTAGCAAATATTTCAAGCACTAAACAGTGAAAAATGCACCGCAAACTTCGTAGAAAAGTGGTGACGCCAATTTCGTAGCTACAGATGTAAAAAATACAAAACAAAGACGAAAATCATTTACCTTGAATACTTTGTCGTGGCTTAGGCATGTTTTTAAAACAATTAGACCAGTTTTTGCTTCAATATTACTCTTTTAAAGCGGAAAATATAGCGAAACAACAAAAATGCTGAGAACTTTGGCAATACGCGTGACGTCAGGAAGTTTCCTATCCAGTTACTTTACAATCCATGACATCACTCACAGTATTAATCAACATGATGTCATTAGAAATTACATGACTTACATCTTGACTTTAAAAAGTCCTTTTGGAAACCCTCTTTGAGTGTCTTGCTTGATCACATTAAGTCCTGCTTTAGTGAACAGCTTCTTTAACCTCTTGTCTGTTCTAAAGAAAATGAAAATCTTGTAGTGGGTGGTGATGATGGTAATGATATTAATAATGATGATTTTGGTGATGATAGTGATGATGATGATAGTGATGATGATGATGATGGTGATGATAGTGATGATGATAGTGATGATGATGATGATGATGATAGTGATGATGATGATGATGGTGGTGATGATGGTGATGATAATGATGATGGTGATGATAATGATGATTTTGGTGATTATGATGGTGGTGGTGATGATGATAGTGATGATCAATGATAGTGATGATGATGATGATGGTGAATATGATGATGCTGAAGATGGTGATGATGATGGTGAAGATGCTGATGAGGATGATCATTTACCTGGTAATACTACTATCTTGCTGATCTGTCACAGATCTCTTGGTTGCAATATTTTCTTTCAAACATATCAGACCATTTGGAAGTAACGCTGCTTGACATCTTTGTAAAAATTCTACTAAGTCATCTAAACAAGTTGAGAACCAAAATAGTTTACTGCGGATTCAGGTAGACCGTGAAATGCGAATAGTTGTCGCGTTAGTTTTAACAGTTGTACGATGACGTTTCTAGGCAGATTTTCGACGTTTCTAAGGCGTGGCTTCAACGTTTATTT